AATTTTTTTTTTTTTTTTTTTTTTTTTTTTTATTATTATTATTTTTATTTTTATTTTTTTTTTAATTTAAAAATTAAAACTTGAGTTATGAGTTTTAGTTAAAACTAAACTGAAGTAATACACTTCAGTAATACTTAAGAGAACCGAAATACTTACCTGAACTGAAATATTACACCTGCGAATTTAAAAATGTTGAAAACTTAACTAAAGTTCAGTTTTCAACATTTTTTTAATTTGCAGGTGTAATATTTTCATCTTTACCCAGAAAGGAGAAATGTCACATCATCCTTCCAAAAGACCTGGGTTGACACAACAACCAATGTTCTTCGTTTTTAAATTCTGTACAAATATTACAATAGGGCTGAAACTTTATTCTAAGGTCTGTTACTTTCAGAACTGCATGATTTTTGTTGGGGTTCTGCAAATAAAGTGAGAGCAGAATGTCATAGTTGAACCTGGCCATACAGATCTGAGAGCAGAGTTTTGTCCAGAATTATCAGGAATATGGGACAGCCAAAGGAAATAGTTATCCTATATGTCTTGCAGAGCACTGTATAATTAACCACATTAATGAAGATAGCAAGCCATTCCACACTAAAGGCTAAATTACTGTATTTACTTGAATCCAAGGTGAGGTTTTTTTCTCCAATCAATGTGGGAAAAAGTCTTGTCTTACATTCAAGTACCCAGCCTGAAGCTGAGCCCCCACCTGTCTTCGGCCAGATGGCTTGCTTGGCGGGGGAGAGGAGGGTGTGTGGCTAGGGGAACATGGGGGAAACCAACGGGCAGGCAAAGGCATGGGGGAAAGCAGTAGGGGGCATATGGTGGTGGGGAAGGCAGCAAGAGAAAAGGCACAGGCATGGAGGAGGGGGTCTAGCTTCTCACCATCAGCTGCTGCTTTCCCTGCCACAGCACTGGTGGGGGGTGAATATCCTCCAATCATTACATTCTATTAATGGAAAATTATAACTAATCTATACATTTCTCTTGTATAGAATCTAATTATGGGGGGGAGGGGGCATCTTAAATTTGAAGTAGTCTTGGATTTGGGTAAATGCAGTACGTTTCTACTTGCACAGGTGTGCTAGGGAAGAAGGGTTAAAGAACCCACCTTCCTCAATCATCCACACAGGGCCCAGCTGCAGTTTAGCTTCTTGTCTATCTGTAGCTCTTAACATGACGTGTATCACCATAGTGTCCCTGGACTGGAGTGTGGTAGGGTCAAAGGCAACTGCAGTCTAAATTCAGGGGCCCCATGGGGGCTGCTTCTGTGCATGTCTCTTAGTGAAGGCTAAAATGGCAGCACTGAAGGGCCACATCTGTTAAACAGATATCGTAAGGCTCACTCTTTGCATTGCCCTATGGCCAAATTCATCCCTGTGTACTGCACAAGTCAGTGCAGGGATCAGGGACACCATTCCAGGTGGTATTCAAGATCTTTTTCCAGCTGGATGCTTGTGTGAAACTCCTGTTAGTGCTAGTGGAAGCTAAACAAGGACATCAAGAAGGCATATATGTCTTGGTTTAAAAAGCAGGGTTTGCATCTGAATTTTTGTGCAGGCAAAGCTTTGAAGCCTGTATTTTTGTTTCTAAATGTTGCAGGGCTAGACCTATAATGTAAGCAAACAGCTGTGCTTTAGAGCTGTATTTCACTCTCTTAGTTTTGCAAGTATGTTGAATTCTGAAAATAATGACCCGTGGAACCCTTCACAAAAAACAGAGAGTCTTTTGTTGCATGTTAAGAAAGCTGAATTAATCAGTTGGGGGGTTTTCCACCCATTAACATGGAATTTGAACAAGATATTGACTTTTCTTTAAAGCAAAACAACAGTTTTGACAATTTCTCTATATTCTGTATGTTTAGTATTTTGTTGGCTTACATACATTAGGAAAGACAAATATTTTAACAGTCGAGTTGAGATTCACACGCACCCTGTATTAATGATTGCTCTTATGTGCCTGTGAGAAACTGCTGTATAAAATGAGTTATTGGATTTATGGAAGCTTTTTAAAAAAATATGCTACTACCATTTCATAATTTCTACTCAAAATGTTATGCTCCAGTCAGTTCAATTGGAGCTGAAACTTCAGCAATATACAATAAGAAAAAGACAGTAACCAATTTTGTAATAGAAGACGACAGCTCAGAGGCCAGATAATCCCATCCAGATAGCAGATAAACAGTACTTTGTGAAAATCCTTTCAATAAGTGCATGAGACTAAAATCCTGTTCAGTCTTTAATGTATTTTAATAATAGTTCTGAAAATAGAAATGAAGTCTGAAAAACAACAATGACCTTTATATGCACCATCTCGGTACAACTGAACAGGGATTTAAATTCCCTTTTTTATGTATGTTGTGAACTTGCTCTGCACCCTGACATTTAATTATCTAGTGCTTTGTATTTGCTAGGACGAGATTCAGTTTCAGGTCAGCATGTGCAATTCTTATTGCACACACATAACATGAGAGCAGACTATGACGCTTAGAAATCCACTACTATGTGCTACCTGGGAAGCAGGATTTGTGAGGAATAGTAAGATCATTTATTGGACCAACTTCATGATTGAAAGATGCAAGCTTTGGGGCACCAAATGCCTTTCCACAGGTCTGCTCTTCCTGCTCCCTTCTCTTTGCTGTCTGCAGCACGAGCAGAAGACTACATGAAATGCAGCTTGTTGCAATAAAGCCTCTTCTCAGTGCACATATCAAGGACCCAAAGCAAAACTGGAGCCCATCATGAAAAGATCATTTAAAAATGCTTTTGGCAAGAAAAGAACTTTTCATGAGCTGGCTCTTCCTGATCTGACAAACGGGAAATGGCTGCTGAAGGAAGCCAAAGAAGCTCGGTGGCAAGTAGATTTGTTAGTTTAGATTAGGGAAATGATGCTATCTCTTGATTCCCTTTTGCGTTTGCTGTCACTTTTGGATACTTTTCTGGCTTTGGTGGTGTGTGTGTCTTACTCTCTCTGCTACACATTCAAAAATTAAAGCTGGACAGGAACCAGCTATAGGCCCCTGCTACAAGTAGGGTTGCCAGCTTGGTTTGAATCTAGTTTGGGAGGTTTCCAGAACACCAACGTGCCCATAACGCACAGTGCAAATGTGCCCATATGCTTGTGTATAATCAGTTAAGGTGTGTAGACTTAATGTCAGAAAGGCAAATGCACATTACTATTGCATTTAAAAAAACCCACTGCACTACAGTATAAAGCAGATTCAACATTTAGTATTTATTTTCATGAATGCCCTATCATTTATCTCCCAGGTGACTCTCAGCACTCTCCTGGAGATTTGTATCTAATTGCTGGAGATGCCAGGGCAATCCTGGAGGGCTGGCAACCCTAGCTACATGTTACATATGTCATGCAATTAACTGGTGACTTGCGCTACATAGACTGGCTGCACATGCAAAGAAATTACCCCAGGCTAATGACCATCCAGCTCTAAAAAGAGCCAGCCATCTCTAAAGTTAGGGTTTGAATGTGTAATAACTTGAGAACTGGCTCCTACCCACCTTTCATTTGAAGGTGTAGCAGGGCCTGTAGAGGTGTTGCACTAGTTTTAGAGCTGGGTGATCATTTTTACCCGGTGGTGATTTCTTTGTGCGTGCGGCTGCTCTGCGTTTATGGCATGGCTGCAGGCACCCCCACGGACAGGTGCAGGGGAGCAGGGCAGGGAGGTAGGATCTCTGCCCCCCGCTCCCGGACAAGTGCCTCAGCTTAGGGGAGCTGGAGCGAGGCATTCACTGTGGTTAGTGCATGCTTTTGAGTGAAGTGACGGTGGCTAGACTTGATGTCTACGTGAGTTGAATGCGAAGATGCTGTAACAACTGGGTTGCTCAGGGAGGTTAGATGTTGCTCTGCCTCAGCCGGATCACAGCAAAGCTTAGGCGAGGGCTGCACGTTCAAAAGGGGGCGCTTCAGTGTATATGCAGGACCCTATGAAGAGGCTCAGTGCAACTTAGCAATCTTCATGAATTTAAGTGCCTGTCTTGGGGCGCCTGTCATGGAGGCTTCTAAGTTTTGTTTTAGTTTTTGCCGAAGTCTCAGGTGAGGTGCTGGATGTGTGCGTCCAGGTCTGGCCCTAAGTGCCAGGGAGCTAGTGATTTAAGAGTTGGACACTATGGATAGTGTTCAACCTGGAAGCGTGAATGCTCCCCGGGCCGCCCGCCGCAGCCTCCAGCGCGGAGCTCAG